GGGAGGCAGCGCCCGTGAGCTACGACCGCGGCGGGGACCCCGGGGACGAACCCGACGTCTCCCTTCAGGAGCGCTTCTCCCTCTGTCTCTCGGACTTCCTCCCTCCCGCGCCCTCCCCGCGGCCGTCCTCCCTCCCTCCCTCGCTCCCTCCCTCCACCCCTACCCCGCCCTGCCCCCTTCTCGCTCCGGGCCGCTGCGGGGAGGGCGCGCTCCGGGCGTCGCGCTCACTCCTCCCCCCTCCCAACCTGGAGGCCCGCTCCCTCTCTTATCTCCTTCTTAGCTCTCCTGGGTCCCCCTCTCTCTTTTAGTTGTTCTCTGGTCCTCTTTCTCTTTTCCCACCCACCCTCTTTCAAATGGAGGGATAACTGAACAACTCACATTTTGCTAAGAGGACGACGCCCCCTCCCCCACCAGACTACCCACCTATGACTTCACGAAAAGCGTTCCCTTTACCCCTTCCAGCAGTCCCTTCTTCCCCTCCCAGAAACCAGCAGCCCCCCCCTGGGAGTGGACCCACCCCTCCTTCCCTCCCCCTCCCCCTTTCCTCCTCCCAGCCCGGCCCCAACCTAGTGGTGCTGCCGCGGGTGCCGCCGCCGGGAGCCGCCTTCCCCAGTGCCCGAAGTGACACCATCTGTCAACTTCATTTAGACATTGCGGCCCTCAGCCACACGCCAGGGTGCCAGACGCCCAAAGGTAAAGTGCCAATCCTCTCTTTCTGGCCCGGCCTGTAGGCTCCGGACCATTGTTTTAGTAAAGGGTGAACGCCGACGCCCCAGGGTGCGGCCCCAGGCGATCGAGGACATTTTGGGAAGTTTGACCAGAGGGGTTTGGATACAGAAATCTGGCCCAGCTTCAGAGACTCTGGAAACCTGGGTCGATAGGACTCATGTTTGCATTTGATGCCACTTCCTTTTGGTTTCCCACTTCAGGGTTTGTTTGGGATTAAAAAAAAAAAAAAAGCAACCAGAAGGCCCACCCTGAGATAAGCGCGGCCGGCGATAGCTTTATTTCAATGAAATCCCGAAGCAGCCTGCAGCTGTAACGTTCTCAGTCTCAGTTTTGCTCGCCCCCAAAGGTGCCATCTCTAAGTTGCCTTCTGTAAGAGAACACACCACCCCAACTGTGGCTTATTCTCTCTGTTAGAGTCCCGGCTCTGAGAGAGATGTGCCCTCAGGAGAAATCATTTCCAATGAGACCCGACAGTTAGTTATTGGATTACACGTGTAGGGAAATGTAGTCTGACCAGGGATAGGGGCTGGGAATCTGGAGGAGAGCAGGAGGCCAGGAGCAGGCCGGGCCACACAGGGGCTGATGGGGAGGCCCAGAGGGAAGGGACTACAGAGTAGGGGACCAAATGAGAGACAGAGCCTGACACCTCTGTGCATCTATCTTAAAGGATCAAGGTGAAAGGGCATCTGTGGTTGCCTGGGAAAATGGGGGGACAGAAGAAGGGGAGATGGTGCAGGGACCCAGGTAAAGAATGCAGCAAAGACCCTTCCCTGCAGCAGAGCTGAGCCCCTTGAGGCTGGCACCAGCTCTCTGTGCCCCTGGAGTGCGACGGGGACTGAGCCTAGCTGGGAGTACTGGTGGGTCTGTAAAAGCAGAGGAAAGAGGGGGTGGGGAGGGGGAGGGGGGTTGGGCTGGGGCTGGCCCCAGACAGTGACCTGAAGTTGAGTGGAAGCAGGCTTTTTCCATCAAACCCTGCCTGGATACCACACACAGAGACCGAGTGTCAGTTTACTGCCCTGAGCCGGACTCCTTTTCCCTAAGCTCCACAGTAATTAGACAAAGAAAACCTAAATTAGCTGAACAGGCGTCGACAGCTTCCTCCAGAGCACCCCTGGTACCTACATGGGAATGTGTCCGAAAATGGCCTGATTGTAGCCAAAAGTCAGCTAAGAAAACACCACCAAACCGAACTCAGTTTACCACTCATTTCCAAGAGAAAAAAGAAACAAGTCGCTCTTTTCCGGAAGGGATGTTTTGATTGAGTTGGAGTGGGGGGTTTGCAGTTGTTTCCACTTTCTAACATTTTTTTTTTCTGACTAACTGGTGAGCATTTTATGGGGACAGGTCCCCATTTATTCCATTCATTTTCCCCCCTCTTACTGTCTTTTGTCATTTTGTGTGAAATAATTAAAAAAATTAATAACTAAATATGGAAGTAAAATGTGCTCACTAAGTCAATGCTCTAAGTGTCTGAAAATAAATAAAATATAATCTGGAATGAGGAGGGTGGTAGTAATCTTCCTAGGTAGGAGGGACATCCAAGAGAAGAGTGGAAGAAGGAAGACTTTTTTTTTTTGTATGTGGGGAGAGGAACAGTGTGTTTGGGGGGCATTTATCAAGTAGATATAATTGTCATTTAGCCACAGACCCCCTCTGATTTTCTGCACCTGGGAATTCTAAGTGGCCCAGAGTACTGGTGGGTGGGTGGGGGGTACCTGCTTTAAGACAGGCCTGAAAAAGTTGTAAGACCCCAGGACTCAAGAATAAAATTGAAACCCCAGGCAGGACCAGAACCTTCTATGCCGGTCATGGAGCATTTTAAGAATGGACAGAAGCTATGGATGGAGCCTGTCTCCACACACACATACAAAAATACTTTGTGCTTGCTTGGGATTTTAAAATCCACATTCTACATATTTTGTTTTTAGCTTTTACTAATTCAACTTGTTAAATTATGAAGGATTTTTTTTTCCAGGCTTCCTTCTCCATCCAAATAGCAATGATATCCATTTTACCAAAATTCTCTAAACTTTCAAGAAATCCCACTTATGTTTTGGTGAGTGTCACAGGGCCCCAGCCAGCTCCTGGAAAGGCAGTGGGCACTGGACAACAGAGCCTGGGTGAGTTCTGCTGTCTTGAAGTCTGCTTTCTTTCCAGGGATCTAAATACTACCCTCTAGAAGGATGTGGAGCTTGGTGACCTTGAATTTTCAAGGAGGAAAGGTTTCTCTCCAGAACTCTTTCTTTGGAGCCCCCACTCTGATCATGCCCCTGGCAGAGGCTGCCTAAGATGACTTGCCATAAATCATCCATGGGCAAGTGATACAGCTGACCTATAGTGGGTGTCCAGGGCTCCAAGTTCAATGCTTTTTTTTTTTTTAACCACATTGCAGCAAAATTTCTCTGAGCTTTGTTTTCATCACTGATTGGTATGAATTTATTGGGTAAGAATGAGTGTGATAACAAATTAGAACAAATTATTTTTGCCTGGCAAGAATAGAACTTTGTTTAGTAGGCAGGGTTTATTTATTTGTTTATGATTTTGGTGGTGTTGGTGATTGAACCCAGGGCTTCAGATGCATGTTAAGTGGGCTCTCTACCACAGACAGAGTTTAAGAGGAAACCTGTGTTTGTCTCGGAAGCACAGCCTTGCCTGGGTCAATTTTCCTCTCTAGGAGGTCCCTTATGATGGTGAACTCTCCTCCAATGACTCCTTATAAGCAACAAAAAAATCTTGATTCCCCCCCCCCTACGGAAAAGAAAGGTATGGTTCATTTAAATAATTCTAGATCAGCCCCAGGCGCTTCTTGGTTAACCAGAAATATACAGCCCCAGGGTCGATCGGACCTTTTCTCCATCCGGGAGGAAAGGTTTGGTTGACTGTCTCCGTCTAGGGCTGTGGGTTCCTTTCCCGCTCCCAAAACTTTAGATCCCACCCCTGCCCCAGCTCAAGGGAATGTAAACTTCGGGAAGCTTGGGTTTCTCCGATTTTGCTCTGTAATCAGTGTTTTATTCTAGGAAATCTCTTCATTATTGCGGTTTAAATCTTATGTTCTTAGCACGCTTCCTCTGCTTGGTGGGTTTTACATGAAATGGCTTAGACTAAACCGGTTACCGACAGGAGAGACGCATCTGCACCGACGATGTTTACGGCCATTTAAGACACCGTTGGGGTAGTTCGCGCTCGGCGGCACGCCCCCCCCTTCCTTCCGCCTGGGCTAGGGAGGAGGAAAATCTCTTCCCCAGGTCAGTCTGAAACCGGCCACGGTTTTCACCCTGGGTTTAGGAACTCTGTTACTATTACGGGGCGTAGAGGATTCCCGAAGTCCTTGGAGACCTTTCTAAATTTACACGGTAGGAGCTCATTGTTGGGGTTTAGGGATATCAGCGCAATTGTGAAAAGGACCGAAATGCACCACTATGCATCCCGCAGAGACCTCTATAGAAACTTAAAGTTATCATAGAAAATTCGGCCGGGAACAGCATTAGGCTGTCTCTCCAACTCAGGGATTAGAGAGGGGAAAGTGGCTAGGAGGGGTAAGTGGGGATTTTACACCTCTCCTGGCGTCTGCTCTCCTTCCTCGTTCCAGAACCCCCGAGACCTCCGGGTTTGAACAACAGCCACCCAATTCTGAATGTTTATTTGGATCGATTCTTCCTCTCTCCCAACGTTTATGTCCTGGGCAGGCCTTTTTTTTTTTTTTTTTTTAATAGCCACCTTCCTGAGAGATCTGCTGATAGCCCCCATAACTTCTGTGCTGGGCTGTAGGCATGACTCCGTGAACCACTTGGCCAAGTCTGACAGTGCTTGCTGAGGGAGGAGAAAGATCCAATCTGCCAGACCCTCTATGCAAAGACCGGGCTTCTTCCACACTTTCCAGATTGCAAGGCCAGGAACTCATCAGCTGGGAGAGCAAACTTTCGGGGTGCTCACAGGAACCAGCCCCACCGGCCTGCAGTGCACCCCAGTCCAGGTGCAGGTACAGCAGTACCAGGTGGAGTACCACTTAGACTTCATCCACAGCCTGCTGGTGTTGAAGGGTCGGGCTGCCAGGGGGCGTAGAAGAGGGTTTCTATGGCGAAAGCGATCTGCTCCAAATAAAAGGCAGGGGAGAAAAGGCCTGGGTTGGAGCAGATCTCTCTGAGACTCTAAAGGGCGTCAGAACGAGTGGTCGCCCAGAAGAGAAATAAAATAATAGGGAAATCTGCACCGCAGGTTCTTGCAATCAAGTGTGGGCCCCGGTGACCGTTAATTTTGTGTCCATTGTGCAGCTGGGAAGGAAGAAAACCAGCTTTAGGGCACAGGACCAAACTCTGAAGATGAAATGGATCCCGGGTCTTGGGAGTGAGTGCAGCGCAGGGACCTGAGGATCTCTGGACCACCGCCCCTCTTGGATGCACCCTCTTAGCTGCCTCCGCCCAGGGTACCCCTTCCCTCCTGGCCCGCATGCCTCTTATTGTTGCGAGGCCTCGGGTCCCCTCCTTCCGCCCACCTTCTGGGGCTCGAAATGAAGTAGCTTGGCCTCCCACACAAGTTAGGCAAGCGGGTGGGCCCTCTGAGCCCAGCCGGGAGGCGCCCCGCAGGGCTGGAGTGGTCACCCCGGGCACAGAACCCAGGAGAGTAAGCTAAGGGCTGTGGGAGGCACCAGTCAACTGCTCCCGGAGGCCCCAAGACTGATCCTAGATTGCCCCCCCCCCCGCTGCAGAGGGGAAGCCCGCTGCTGTGAGCCTGCTCCCAGGGAAGCGCCCTGGAGGTCCCAACCCAGTCCGGTCGGGTTTTCATCTCTCGTCTGGTTCGCCTCCTCTCCCCCTGCCCTCCCTTTCCCCCAAATAAATAAATATCTCCAAGGGCAGCGAACTCAGCAGGGCGCCGGACCCTACGCCTGGGCGATAGATGAACTTCCTGGCGCATCAAAACTCTGCTCCAGTCCTCCCCGCGGAGCTCAGGATATGGGGCGCGCTTGCTTCTCTTCTGAAAAGGAAACGTAGCTCTTCCAAAAATATAAATCAGCTCTGACGTCCAAATATTTCTTTTGTCCTCCAGCATCCTCTGTGGGGATAAATAAAACGTGCTCGGCGCCCAGAGGCCGACTTGGGACCTCGGGGCGCCCAGACGCCGCCTCAGAAGAGCTGCCTTTGGGGAGTCCCCCCATCTCCTATTCTCTCTCTGCCCCCGGCCTGGCGATGGGTCCCAGTCCGGGTATGAGGCCTGATACTCGGCCGCAGAGAAAGACATGGAGGGCAAAACCCCAGAGCCTTGGAGGAGAAAAGCTCCCGAGGTCTGTCCAAGTAGGAAAGGAGTGCTTGCTGGAGATAAGACAAGAGGAGGGCAGAAAAGCTCAGGTCTAGCATCTTAGAAGAGTTTGGATCCCAAAGCTGCCTCTCCAGGTCCACTTTGCCTCCAGGGTTTTTACTCCTCCCTTGGAGCATGTGCCTACAGCTTTCCTCATGGGGCACCCAAGGGACCCCCACCTCTATTCCTGGAGTATCCATACGTGGTTGGGGCTGAGGGGGCCGAGGTAGGGCATCTCTGAGTGCTGTTGCTGCTGGAGAAGCCAGGGAGCCAGTTCAGGGCTTGGTCCTCAAGGGTCTCCTATGGTGAGCTCCCGAGGATGGCTTTGAGCCCAGTCATACTTAGCCACCCTTCAACCCCCAAGGATTTCCTCTCTAGTTGGGATAGAATTCTGGTTGGGGCTTGGAAATCTACACTAGGTTAAAATCACAGGCAACAGGATGGTGGCGAAGCTAGCTAGTGGGAGTTCTTCAGGGAGATGAAATAAGGGTGAAATATTCCTAGTGGAGGGAGTTGGCCTGAAGGTGTGTCCAGCATCTCCATTCTCCTTCTGGTTTCCTTGTCACCAATGGCCTTGGCAACCCAACAGTCCTTCAACCCACCTGTCCCTCTTTCTCCAATAAATCACCCATATCCACACTGCCAGCCTGAAAGACTTCCCTAAGTTAGTGGGTTCCAGCAAGAAGTCTCCACCTGCCCAGGGTCCGCTCACTCACCTCTCATGCCCTATCACCCTGGCCATGAGGTTCTATTCCAGACCTGGGACTTGGTGGGGGTGCTGTTCAGCTGGCCACCCCCCTCTCTTCAGGGGGGTCTTTATTGATGAGCTGCCTCAAGAACCCCAGCCCAGATCTTCCCAGAGGGTTTAGACAATCCATCACCCACCACTTCAAGAATGCTTCCTCCCTTTCAAACACAATCCTTGCACACCAGACAGGCTGCGGTGGGGAGGGGAGCGCACTTGAAAAGAGAACAGCTATATAATCAACGTCAAAGCAGTCCCCCAACCTTTCGGAAACAGGGATTTGGGCCAAAAATCTCTCCAAATGATTTAGGAGGCCTCCCTCGCCCTCGTCCCCACCTTCCACTTGACTCTTGCCTGTTTCTGCAGTCCTGCGGCCAGCACGGCCAACGCACAACCCTACGCTGTGTTGAAAGTCAACCCTGAAGGCTCTTCCATGGGTAGTTTACATTTAGCTAGAGAAAGCGTTTTTCTTTTGGGGGTTCAGGGAGGGATCAGAATTTCGGCCTCGCCATCATGCTCTCAAGGCCTGGTCACGGTATCCTCATGGAGAGGAATTGAATTGGGAAGGCCAGGTGTGGCCCTTTGGAGTTGTCAAATAAGTGTCACCTTCCTTTCTTTTAGAGTCCGCGGATTTTTGCGGTCTCAGGAGCTGCGCCTCCCCTTAGCCTTAGGCGCCAGGAATTCCTTCAGCTTCCGCTGGGTGGCGCCAGGCTCTCGGAAATCGCTGCCCGCGGGGCAGCCCAGGCGCGGTTCAACGCCACGGGCTCCCTTCCACCTGCTCTGGGCTCCCAACACCCATGGACCGTGTTCCCCGAGGCCCCGCGGCCCAGGCCCCATCCCCTGAGGCAAGCCAGTGTTTTGCCTTCAGGTGGACACATAATTCCAAGTACTGTCGCGCATCTCGTACTCCATTGGCCATTGTAGGGCATATTCGGCTTTACCCCTCCGTTTCCACCTCCAGTGGAAAATGAGCCAGGCACTAGACACTCCTGTATTGGAACGCGTGCTCTCCGAGGCACACCAGGCTTCGCAAGGCACACCAGGCCTTGCGAAGAAATGCAGAATCAGTTCAGGTATTTTGATTCCCGGCAGCAAGGCGCAGGCGCTGTGTCTTCATTTTTCAACCTGGAGCTCCTGGAACTCTCTTGAGGTCTAGTAGAAAACGAATGAACAAAGGAAACGTCAAGCATCTGGAGGATGCGGGTTCGGGTTGGTCCTGCAGCGAGTAGCCGGAAAGGCGAGTTCTGTACCTCAGTGTGCTCACACGTGAAGCTGCATCTGACCTCCTTGTGTCTGCCGTGTCAAGAAGACAACTATTTGCGTTCATAATTATCTCTCATTTTTTAACTAAAGAAAACCCTTGCGATTCCCTAAACTTGTGCTGATGAAAGTTTGCAAAATAAAAGGGGACTTGAGGGGTCTTTTGGGGGCGGGCTGGATCCAAACCGGGGGATAATTTGCAGATAGGGTAGGCTCCACCAGGGGCTGTGAACTTGACACTCAGGTATCACCCGCTCGCCTCTCTTCTGTGGTTGGTGTCTAATACTTAACTGGATTTCCTCTTTTCTGAGACAATAAGTTATTCTCCATAGCAACTGACTTAAAAAAAAAAAAACTCTAAAAATTAGCTTTAATAGCGTAAAATTTACATACAAACATCCATTTCTAATGAAGAGGTTTTTTATAGGTTGTCTTTTGTATTTGTTATTGTAAAAGTTCCCTAGTACATAGTGGAGATGCCATGCAATAAGCCCCCACACACCCATTACCTGAATGGAACAATTACCAAGGTTTTGCCACATTTACTTTATTAATCTCTTCTCATTCATTTCTTGCTAAAAAAAATTTTAAAGCAAATCTAGACACTAGGTTTAAAAAAATATCTTACTACTTTTCACACTTTTCAGGTCTATTTCTCTCATACCTAAGATTGTATTTTGATAAGCATAACCTTCCCTTAGAGAAGTTCAAACTTACAGGGGACACTTTGTTTTTGGATGTGAATTTTACTGAGAGAATTCTCCATCCTGGTGCTTCCCCTCCCCTAAGTGACTTTAAGCCCTGAATTTGTTGGCTTTCCTTGGGCTGCTGAATCCTGGGAGAGGTTGACAAACTTTCCCTCCACCACTTTCAATGGAGGCTGGGTGCATGCTGCTATTGTAATCTGTGAAAAGGGATATTCAGGTTCCTTCCATTGGCAGAGTCAACCCCATTCTGCCTTCCATACACACATGCCAGATCATTCATACAGAATGTGTGGCAAGATCATATGTCCTTTGAAAATATCTATAAATATGAATATGGATGTATGCTTATTCATGGGGACTGTTCAGTAATTTTCAAATTGTTTATTCATACAGTCGCTAGCCTAGAGGACTTTTCATATTGTTTGAAAGTGATTGTGGCAAAATTTAGGGAGAGGCAACCCTCTCCCTAATCCCACCACCAAATCACATCATGACTCTACACATACTTCACAAACATTTGTTCATTGACTGTCTGATTTTCCTACTCCCTGAACAATACATGTTACCATTCTTAGCTTTTCCTTCACCCTCAATGGAACCTTCAGCAAATGAAGAGCTATGTGGTAGTTGTAGGTAATCTACCATGAACTGCTACCATATACCACCATGTTCATAGTTGCACCTGCTCCCTGTGATTTTGGGTAAATCACTTAATGTTTCTAAGCTTCAGTTTCTATTATTTTTTGTAAGATGGGAATAATAAAATTAAAATAATAATGTCCCTTCCCACGGTGACTATAAAAATGAAATAATGGTTGTAAAAAGCATTAACATTCTGACATATACACATTTATGCTGTTATTTTTGGCCCAGTCCGGTAAAAGCACTGTTTAGTTTTAGGCACCCCATAAGTTTCTTGCGTACTTGGGATCATTCCTTCCCTGAGCAATCTCTAGAACAAGCATTTGGTTTAGTCCTTAATAAGGAAAAGATACAATTGGTGCAATGTGTACAAATTTAAGCCCGCTTCTTCAGGCTGGGGTGCCAGCTCTCCTGGATGTTTCTGGACTGTGGCTGTGGCTCCAACGCAAAGGGAGAATCTAGGGAAGGAAAGAGAGACGTTTCCTTTGGTGGGGTCATTGCGGCTCTTGAATATATCTGACTCTTTCGCAGCACCCGGGCGGAGCAGACACCCTCGCAACGCCGCGCGGTTAGTGGTGTTTTGTAGGCTTGCTCTGGGCACCCTGGCTATGGCATAGGGATGTGTGTGTGTGTGTGTGTGTGTGTGTGTGTGTGTGTGTGTGTGTGTAGTTGAGCATTATTTAGGGGACTAATCAAGGAGGGACCAAAGGCAGCGAGGTGGAGGGTCAGTCTCTTCTGTGATCCAAAGCAGGGTCTGCAGTGCGGAAAAGCCCGCGTAACGCGTGGGCGGCTTGGGTTTGTGGGCGCTAGGCTCACTTACCCCGGGTCAAAACACCGATGTCCAGTCTACATTCGATGAATTAGTTCTGAAACAGGAATCCAGAAAGCGTGAAAGTGTGGCAGAAAGACACTGCCTGCTGCTGGAGAGGCGAGTCCCTTTGCGGTTCCTCGCCAGCGTGGCCGCGGGCAAAGCTACCCTTCGTACTTGTTTCGGAATGTGATTTTCTTCTTTCTACCCTATTTCCTATATGCTCTGGACCATTCGAAGGCAGGCTGCCGAGCCGAAGAACCCTCGCTGTCTACATGCACCACCGCAGCCGGAGGAACCCTGGACAGCCGACAATCATGTGGGTCCCTAGTCCCCATTAGGCTAGGTTACAGGGGTCCACAAGGCACCCCAACTACACTTTTGAGGGTCCCAACTCTGGCTATTTGTGAAGTATGGAACATTAAGGTCATAAATAGATTTCGCCCATTTATTTATTTTTGTTTTGTTTTTCCTGTTTTCCTCTTCTTTTTTCCTCGTTGATATTTTCTGCATTTACTAGTTATGTGACCTGGAACACGTTACTTTATCTTTCTGCACCTCAGTTTTGTCTTTTTTTAAATAATTGGAATCATAATTATAGTAACAGCGTTATTGGAAGGATTAAACGAATTAGTAAAAGCCAAATGCTTAGACCAGCGTGCGGTAGGTGGGAAGCGCTCAATAGACATCGGTGTTGAAATCGATGGTGCAGATTCTTCTGAACTTGAAGTGGTGAGGGCTCCGCTTTCTCCAGGGTGATTTCACTTTGTGGCCCACCATGCTAAGGGTAACTTGGCCCCTGCGCTTGTCCCAATCCCAATGAAACTCCTGGGCTTAGTTTTCAGGATTTGATTTAAAGACTTAGGAGGGAGTAAGTACGAAAAGGCCCTGGCAGGAGCCTGAAGCAGAAAGCTTAAGCCCAGAGAATAAGTGGCACGAAGCAGGTGCGCTGTGGCCAGGCCAGGACTTTCTGGGCGCAGCTGGGGCTCCTGCTTTTTGGGGCTGGTCCAGTTTTTGGAGAAGGGACTTGGCGTCGGGAGTCGGACTTGGTTTCGTGCTGCTGCTTCTTGCCTTGGAGGTAGCACTTCCACCTGCTCAACGTTCATGTTACTTGGGGTCCGGGAAGTGCGCAGCGGAGAGAGCAGGGGAGACTCCAAAAATGGGAGGGTATCCTTCCAGGGTACGAATGGATCAGACAGGGAAGGCATCGAGGGCGACAACTGTAGAAGTCAGGGGTGGAAAACACCCACAATATTTCCGTTTTGACGTGTCCTCTCTCCCAAATATGACCCTGGCCGTCAGTTTGGTCCCCCCGGCGAGGACTGGTCGCCAAACACTGCTTGGCAAAGTCAATCAACAGCCACTCGTAGGCTGTCGACCCCTGCTGTGAGATCAGCTCGGGCCTCTCTGGGACTTGGGAGGGGGCGCGGGGCCCAACGGCGAGGCTGCAGGCCTCTGGGAAGGCGAAAGTGGCTCAGGCGGCGGCTGCACGGCGGCCGCAGGATGCGAGGCGCGAAACCTCAGGCAGCGCGGACCGCCCCCCCGGCACTGCGGGCTGGGCCGGCCTTCAGGAGGAGGTCCGGACGCGGCTGCTCAGAGGAGCCAGGAGTGGGAGAGTGACAGGGGAAGTGACCTCTTGAACCTCATCAAATTCAAATACTATAAGAAGTTTTTTAAGGAAAGAAAAGCGGAAGGATAGGGAAATGGAGTTCACCTGAGGCTTGAATGGCCTTTTTAAGAGTTCCAGGCCCCTGGGGTTTGCAGATTTCTCTGCGGTAGACCGACTCCTGGTAATGAACTTTGGATTTTCCCTTAGGAGGGTGAAGCTACCAGCTGACTTCCTCCAATACGAGTATTTTACATATATAAACACCTTTGCAGTTTAATAGCCCTTTAAATAAATTATTCATATTAACTCTTGGTCAAACCAACCTGGCACAAAATAGCTTTTCTTTATCTCAGCTCTCTCTTTTTTTCTCCCTTCTTTTAATTACTGGTTTTTGCTGTTTAGGTTTCATCTCCAGGCAGGTAGTCAGAGTTTTTATGTGTCTAACTTTATCCTCTGCCTTAATGTAATTCCCTGCATGACTCTCCCTATGAACATGGACAAAAGATAGACTCAGGGTTTTATTTTCTTATTTGGGTGGATAATGTACTTTTGAAAAAGCAAATGTCATTTCATTTTGGCTTTTGTTGGTTATTATCTAGCAAATGAGAGTGATTATGGAGTATCTGACTGCAGCCATTCTAATGAAAGTCACAGCTGCAAGTAGGACTTGACTAAAAAGACTTCAGCCCTCTGGATCAGCCAGACATTCACCTATTTTACTCTTCAAGTCTCTGGAGCTAAAATATGTCAAGAATCTGAGAAATTGGGAGTTGTTTCCATATGTCATCTTTTCATTCAGCAAAGTGGTGGTATTGGGGGGAATGCGGTTTAAACATTTTTTTTCCTCCCATGAAAAGAAACGTTCTTTGGTGACATGAAAATATAAACTAAACCTCCAGAACCTGTGTCTTGGAGCAAAATGAGTGTGGAAAGCTAAGTAGGCCAATTGGGCAGACAGAATTTAGGGATGGAAGTTGAAGAAGACAGGGGCTGTGTAGATTCTTTGAACAATGATGCTTACCTGACAGTGCCTTTGGGAACTCTGCCTTGTGTCAGAGAGAGATGCAAAGTCAATTGGTGGGGAGTGTGACAGAATGGGTTTCCGTAGAATTTTTCATCTGAAAAGCAGGTTTAAATGTCCCTTGCCCATCTCTGATAAGATGCTTTGTGTAGGTGAGAGGATACATGCTGGTGTCTGGCTGAATATATCTGTTCTACTGAACCCAGATAAAACAGAATTTAATAGACTTTATTTGTAATTTCTTATCTATGGAAAACTTTTTTCTTTTAATTGGAGGGCTCTCAGAAAAGATCTGAGACTGAGAACCTTTCCATTTGTAAATCAGTTTCAAAAAATGCAGTTGAGTTGTGCATTTTATGGCCATGAGGATTTAATAAAATGGAATAGAATTTAGGTGCACGTTGTAGGTAAGCATGACTGGAGAACAAGTTTAGTCATTTTGTTTTGTGTTTATTTTTGGACATCAGAATGTATAAGTTCTTAGTAATGTGAAAGGGATCAGAAACTTGGGGTGTCTTAAATTTATTCTAATATATTTCTTATCCTTTTCTAACTAGGGAACTATTTCGAGGCCAATATTTGATTGATGTCTGGACTTTGGGTGTTCCTGCATATGAAGATTGGAGTTGGCAGTGTAGGTAATACCACCTAAAAATATTTTTTCCTGACCTATGCATTTATACTCTTTACGTTTTTATATTCACTTTTCTGATATAGTCACATAATGCAATTTACTTTCATACCTTGAATTAAAAAGTGGAATTTTAGGTGTCTTAAGTGATGCAGAAAAGCTCATTTGCATTATTAAAGTTACCTCCACGTCTTCCATTTAACCTATGTTTTTGCAGAATGCCCTGGGTTCCTTCCACAGTGCTATGGATTAGGTGTGAAGTAACCCCCAGAAATTCAAGTGTGAAACAATGCCAGGAAGTTTAGTGGCACAAATGATTGGATTATGGGAGTTCTAACCTAATCAGTGTATTCATCGCCTGATAGGGATTAACTGGGTGGTAATTGTAGGCCAGTCGGGTGTGGCTGGGGGAAGTGGGTTACTGTGGGCACGCCTTTGAGGTTTATATTTTGTCCCTGGTAAGCAAGAGCTTTCTGTGCTTCCTGATTTTCATCCAATAAGCTGTTTTCCTCTGCCACACCCTTCCACAAGATGTTTGGCTTCACCTTGAACCCAGAGCAATGGATTTGTCTGTCTGTGGACTAAGACTTCTGAATCCGTAAGCCAATTAAATTTGTCCTCTTCTAAAATTGTTCTTGTCAGCTTTTGGTCACAGTGGCAAAAAAGCTGATTAAAGCATCTAGAATCTGAAATACAAGACAAAACAGAAACCATTTCTTAACCCAGTTCATGTTGTCTTTAAACATTAGTTTAAGAAAAGGATTAAATTTTGAAAATTTGAATGACTTTAAAAAGATTCTACATTTTTTAAAAATGTAATAAACTGCATTGCAATTTTTTTGGTAACTTGCTTGTCTTTTCTAGAGAACAGAAACAACTTGGCATATTAGTCTTTGAAACTAGGAAAATGGAGTCATTAGAAGAGTAAAAGTAAATCCTGAGGTCAATGTAGCTTGACATTGCTGGTAATAATTGGGAATTTTGAAAGAAAGCAGTATGGTAGAATACGGTATAAAAATTTAAGTACTTTGCTATATGTAGAAAATTTTCTAGATGTACTGGTATCCATATACAATCTAGGAATCCCTGAAGAAAGAAAATATACCAGACAACCAGGCAAAAATAGACAAATGGAATTACATCAAACTAAAAAGCTTTTGCACAGCAAAAGAAGAAATCAACAGAGTGAAAAGACAATGTACAGAATGAGAGAAAATATTTGCAAACTAAGCATCTGATGAGGAATTAATATCTAGATTATGTAAGGAAAACAACTTGATAGCAAAAAAACAAATAGTTCTATTAAAAAAAAATAGACAAACACCTTAATAGACATTTCTCAAAAGAAGATATATACAGATTTAAAAAATGCTTAATCATCAGGAAATGGAAATTGAGACCAGAATGAGATGGCTATTCTAACTAGGGTGTGGTGCTATTATCAAAAAGAAAAAAAGACAAACACTGTTGATGAGGGTGTGAAGAAAAGGGAACACATGCACACCAATGATAGGAATGTAAGTTAGTATGACCATTTTGGAAAATAATTTGAAGGTTCCTCAAAAAATTAAAAAGAGTGGTACCACATGACCCAGTAATCCTGATAGTAGGTACATATAGAAAGGAAATGAAATCAGTATGTGGAAGAGATATCCACACTTCCATGTTCACAATAGTCAAGATGTGGAAACAACCCAAGTGTCCAAGAATGAATGAATGGATAAATAAAATATGAATACTATGCAGCTGTAAAAGGAATTTTTATTCTTCATACTGTTATTTCTGACAATATAGATGGACCAGGAGGACATTATGTTAAGAGAAATAAGCTAGGTACAGAAAGGCAAATTCTGTAAGATTGTATTTATTTGTAGAATCTAAAATAGTTAACTGCATGTAAGTAAAGAGTAGAATAGTGGTTACTGGAAACTTGGGGCAGAGAGCAGGGATTGGGAGGGTGGAGACAGATTGGTCAACAGACACAAAGTTACAGTTATATGGGAGAGATAAGGTCTGATGATCTGTTGCACAGTAGGGCGATTACACATAACAATAATGTATTATGTATTTCAAAATACCTAGAAGAGAAGTTTTTCAATGGTCTTGTCATAAAGAAATGATATTAGGCAATGAATATGCTAAAAACCCTGATTTGATTGTTGTGCAATGTATACATGTTTTAAAAATACCATTGTACCCCGTATATATACAAAATTATTGTGTCAATTAAGAAATGATGTATTATTTGCATGTACCATATGCATATCCTCCCATATACTTTAAATCATGTCTAGATTATCTATAATAAATGATATGAGGTAAATACATATAAATAGTTATGATAATCCATTTTTAGAGAATAAGGACCCCAAACCATCTATATGTGTCCAGCACAGATACAATTTTTCTAAAATTTTAAATATTTTCCATCCAGGGTTGGTTGAATCTGAGGATCTAAAACCTGTGGATACACAGGGCTGAGGGTATGTTTCTTTGGTTTGCCTGGGTTTTCTTCCTTTCCTGAACTGGTGTCAGCATCTCCATATTGTTAAGGAACTCTGTTCTTTCCTTACATTGCCTCCTGGTGCAATCACCCAGCTGTGTGATACCATTAGACCCGGGGTGGTCATGTAACCTGTGCCTGCCTATGCTACCACAATGGTTGGTCAAAGTACTGGCACAGGATCAACTTCTGTCATTTAGAGTCCTTCTCTGGTCTTGTTAGCAAAGATAGTAAGAGATAACTTTTCTTGATCTTTTTCTCCTGGATTAGGGCATCAAGAGTGCATACTTGGATGTTTCAGTAGCCATCTCATCACTTCTCTGGCTTTTTAGGGAAGCCCATTAGAATAGAAGAAACCAGTGCACAGACAGAAGCAGAGGCTGTAGAAACAGTGAGTGGGCTGACAGCCTTGTTGGAGGTGGGTCCTGGAGTTTTCCTTAATCTCCCATTTCTGTTGTAGTTTCCCAAATAGGTTTTAAGTGCCTGCTCTAAGCTGGGCACTCTAGGTCCTGGGAAATAATCAGGAAATGCACTCAAGTTCTCTGCTTTCAATGTTTAACTTTGAGGGATAGGGAGATAAATAGACAATAAGCAAATGTACAAAAATCTTTCAGCTAAAGAAAAGTGCTATAAGAGTAGACCCTATCTAGATGAGAAAATAAGGTCCATGATGGTGGTCCACCATGGTAATAAGATAGATATCTGAGAGCAGTCAACTATGAAATGATTTGGTGCAGATAGAGCAGCAGATTCAGAGGCCTTAATGAATGATTATAGGAAGTTCAAAAAACATCAAGAAGAGCAAGGGACCTGGACTGTCCTTCCCCATTTAGGTGCTAGTTGTTTGGAATCAAAGAGACAGTGTTAATACTGGTACAGTCTGACCTTTGGGCTCTTCTTTTTCTATACATCCAACCCTTAAACACCTGCCATTTTATTGCAACCACATGGCATTGCTGGACTTTTTCAGTATAGCTCAGTAGGTTACAATGCTTTTGACAGCCACCTGACTTTCCCTACCTTTTTTTTTTTTTTTTAAAAAGTATATGTATACATTTGGGTATAGATGGACACAATACCTTTATTTTATTTATTTATATATGGTGCTGAGAATTGAACCCAGCACCTCACACATCCAGGAAAGTGCTCTACCACAGAGCTACAACCCAGCCTTCCCTATTTTTCACATGAAGCACGCACACTGTAATGGCACACGTTGGTAGGTGTGTTGATTTCTCCCATTTCAGTCACAGATCATTCCTAATTGCTGTAAGAACTGAAGTTGGGCCATAAGAGTATTACAGGTATGTGAAGTTGTTCAACACACTCTTCAACCCATGCCAGGGGATGCTTCCAGGGCTGGAACTCAGAATGCTAGGAGGAGGTTCTGAAGAGAATCATGACTCTAATTCAAGAGATGAAGGAGGGTACTCATGATGGGAAGCTCACATGTTTAAGGAGCATTTGGTTCTAAAGAGGTATTTTAATTGTGGTCTGTAAGGAGGTGAAGATTCACCTCCCCAAATCAAAAGTGGTTTGTCAAATTTTTAACCTATAATGAAGCAGAATGTTATCAGTTAGGATGATTTAGGGTGCAAGCAATGGAATTCCTTACTCAAGGAGGCGTGAATATTAAGTGTCTCATCTAATAAAAGTACAGGCATATATTGGAGTAGGGCAGGTTTTGGAGCAGGTTGTTTAACTAGTCCACAGATATCTGGCTAAAAAATATAATTCATCCTAGAAATTATTTGTTTCCTGGTTGTTAGATAGCACCAGTGACAATTATGTGCTTCATTATTTCCTTCATTATCCAAAAAGATAAAAGTGGAAAATATGTCCAATAATGGAAATGGAAGTTTTCCCTTTTTGTTTTGTTGTTTGTGGGGAGGGGGAAGGGACATCCACTTATATCCATGTTTCTCCCCAGACTGGTGACAGTCTCCAAGGGAAGGTTACAGATTTTCTAAGCCAATCATAGGCTTGTTCAATAGAATTGACTGGCACCCCTCAGGACATCCTTCTAGAGATGGGAATGGGGCTACCCTTCTCAAACCACACAGTCTCTTGTGTCTCCTGTTCTTATGGAATTAAGAAATGAAATCAGGAGCAGTGGCACATTCCTGTAATCCCAGAGGCAAACAGAAGGCTGAGGCAGAATAAAATTTTATTTATCTCAAATTCTATATCTGATTCTGTCTGAACATGGGGCAGGGTGACGTAGAAGCAAAAGAGCATGTTTCCTAAAATTGTCACTAGAATTACCTGTGGTACTAGGTACTAGGAATTTAAGAGCCTCATCTTACTAATATCCTATTGATGGACATTTGTATTCCTTCCAGTGTTTTGTGACTATCAGGAAATGTCCATAAATATCTTTATTATATTTTTATTTCCTGGAAATGAAATTGCTGGATGGAAAGATATTAATAATTTAAAGACTTTTGATTAAATTTTCAAATGGTTTTCTTTACTAGACATGATAAGAGAAGCCCTTATTTCAC